AAAAAATGCACCCTCCTGCCTTTCAAATCTGGACGCCATCTTGGATTGGGGGCACCAATTTTGACCGGGGGGTTGTTTTGACTTCAAATATGAAATCTGCGACCAAAATTACATGGAAAACGATACCTCACATGACAGGATATGCACAAGTGAAAATACCGATATTCCGGAGGCCTTATTATGGGCGCCATTTTGAATTTTAGGCATTTTGAGGGGTGCTCCGGGATCGGACAGTGCTAGCATTTTAGGATACTGTTTGAGAGAACCTATCAATGACGTTTACACAGGTTTTGATCACATTTTACATTGTTAACGGCGTTCTCACGATGATCCAACGCGAAAATTCGGCAAAACATAGCGAAATCAGGGCCCCCTGCCCCCCCGGCCCCCATGGCCTCAGAATTTTGGGCTCACTTGCGAAATTGAACCTTCTATAGGTAAAGATGATATCCTGAAAGTTTCATTCTTTCTTCCAGAAATGCACGATTGTTATGCTTATCCGCCCTACTATGAGTATGGGGACTGCGAACTCTGAGCCTCCAGCTCTAACATCTTGAAAGCTTCAAATATCTTCAGGTAAGTGAGTTGAAAAGCTGCAGTCACCGTTTCCATTTGTGGCGTTTCAAGGAGTTTATCTGGGACCTCTTCCTTCAGATCATCTACTCTGTATTTGATATCGGTGATGCTGATATGATACGCTTCTTGGTTGTGCTTAAAATCCAGGACCATATTCGTTGCCTGCAACCGAAATACGATATTTTTAGGCCAGAGTGTTCTTTTAGTCAAATATTACGTAGAGAGGGCCAAAATATAAATGTTCAGAAAATCTGAAATATGTATAGCCTTGAGTGAATACTTGAAAAGGGAGTTGACGCGCTTACCTTCATCTCCAAAAATACCACTCGGCCTTGCATTTTTTTTTTTTATTTTATTATTTTTTTGCGTGACTCAGAGTTTACATATTTCCGCTTGAAGACGTCTAATCGATTTTAAAGTCACTGAATGGAGCATTTGACGAATGATTGAGCGATATTTTTTTACTTATTTTGATAAATTTGAATTTATCTTACATCCCTTTGATAGGGAAACTCTCCTTGAAATTTTGCTCAGGCCATATAAATCAGCATCATTCATCGCAACATCAAGATGTGTAATTCTTACCCGGCTGTTCAGTGATACGTGTCGGTTGCCAATTTATATCTTTTAAAAAAGAAAACCATACACACACGACGGGTTGATTGTTGAAATTGATAGACAAAGCTATAGACAAATGAGACCAAAGGGATACGAAGGGCGCCTATAGGTGGAGACGGGTATTTGGAATGGAGAAATGAGGTGGGTAATAGGCTAACTAACGGCAGCCCACGAGGGACCCTTAGTCCATCATGTCCCCTTAGTCTACAGCAATCACCCGTTTCAACCAATAGGATCGCTCCATACTCCCTATGTATTCTTTGTCTATCTTTTTGTCGATCAATTCCAACGATTATCCCACAGGTGATTCTTACCTGTTCCATTTCATCGGGGCTTTTGTCATCAGGGTGATCCAGTGTGCAGAGGCTGTCGAGTAACCTCACGGCGAAGACAAACATGCGCGTATCATACTCCACTAAAGCTGCCAGGTACCTCGCCATCTTTGGATTTGCCGTCAAGAGTGGGTCCTCTTGAGCCTTTTTCAGTTCGTTTTGCCGCCATTTCTCTAGGGCCTTCAGCTCGTTTATAACTGCACCCACGGGTTTGAGCTTTTGAGCTGGCACCACGTCCTCAAATAAGTCACTTGCGCCATTTTGTCCGGGCACTGGAATTACCTCAAAATAATCATAGAGGAACCATTCATAGAAGTAAGAATCTCATTCATGAATTTTAAATACTTTCAAGGCATTTCTTGAAACTTTGGCTCAAAATTTCATAGAGCGCTTTTAGACACCCCTATATATTGAATCGATCACGGATATGAAGCCTGAAATCATCCGTTCATATCCCATAATATATACAAGTTGATGTGACTTTCTGAAGTAAATGTTTCATTTCCATTATTTTTTCCCGTCACTTTTCAGACCAATTTGTTTACTACGAGGTACTGATCCAATACTTACCCCAGCTGAAGTGCAGACCAAAATTGACGTAAGAATGAAAGCAGCAGTGGCAGTTGCAATCATATTTAATGCATACAAACACTGCTGAGACTAACACAAGAAATAAACATTTATTATAGTCACTGGTGGTATAATTCAAAACGGAGACTGTCTCTCGTTATTGTCATCCAATCTTGTCGTGTCGATAAACTTATAATCTAATTTATAATCTAAATCTAAATTTTGTTCCTCATGGATTGGAGTAGCCTTGCAATATTATCAAGATGCACCTAAACCGCACAAATAACTTTGTTAATATGACGTTTACACTCCTAATTTTAGGATATAAACTATTTTCGAAGAGGATGATAAGTGTTGATGGTTCATGCGATAAAACCAAACGTATTCAATCTATGAGATGTTGCATGATTGAACTATACCATTAATAATTTTCACCCAAGACTGTTATTTGGTTGAAAATATTATACACGAGACAGAAATTGAAAAGCATCATAGCCGGGATCCATGTTATCTTAATTTCACAACCAATGTGATTTCTCGATGATGCCGAGTTTTGCATAGTTTACTGTAACCATTGTCATTTTTAATTTTTAAAGCGGCAGTTCAAGACTCTCCTAGCAATTGTACATAAAAAGAGAGCCTAGTAAAGTATTATTGTACTTATCATACAATTTGTATTATTTTAATTACTACATGTTTTGTATTATTGTAATTATTGTGCGTAAAAATTAAAATCGATGGTTTTGAAGTTGTCACTCCCTGCAATAATAATAATTTTTAAAGCTGTACTCAACGCAGATGATATCAATTGATTGTCCTTAATGGGATTCCGAAAGATTCTAAAACATAGTAAAATGTCGTTTCCACTTTAAAATTACACATAAAGGGTTACAGTATGCTATGTCTCTTGCTGGGAAAGGGCATAACCTTTTTTTAATTCGCATTTAAGGCAGCGCACGGAACGGATACACATACAAAAAGGCTCATCTCAAACTGCAGTTGTGTCTATTTTTTAACAGAGTTTAACGCATATTAGCGCAGGCGGACGACACATTCAAAGGATAAAAACGGAAATTGTTCTTCTTTTTACTCTTTTATTATGTTCCAAAATTAATTATTGTGCAGATACAGAATTTTCACTTATGACGTTACAATTTCGAAATGGCTGATAAAAGAATCTAAGTTACCTTCTCCCTCTAGCCTTGTTCTGTGAGACCATTAAAAAATGTCCCCCATTTTCCAATTACAATCTATATTTATCTTAAAGAGAAAAACATTAAAAAAAGTGGCTCAAATTGTATGTAACAAGGTGGTGAAATAGTGCTGGGCCCATACTTTTGCGGGGAAAACAAAGCAAGAAAGTTCGAAAGTTTCAATTAGAGTCAAAAACTTTTGAGCTCTAATGAGTATTAGCACAAGACTGAGGGGAAAGAGTGTTTAGCTTGGGCAAGTGCATTGGAACGTTACGTTGTTTTGAGGTCACACTGAGAGATCTATAAAATTTTGGGTCTTTTTAGATCTCATCAGTAGATCACATTCATCAGCGAGCCCAGCTTATAGCATCTCGCAAAATCCAAGACGGCATCTGCTCGAGCTGAGCAGTTCCCCCTGTAAGTCTTGCACTGATACTTGATAGAGCTCAAAAATTGTTGACCTCAATTACATTTTTTCAACTTTTCTGACTTGTTTCCCCTGGCAAAATAGGGTGAGCTCAGCACTATTTTACCACCTTCATCTCCAAGTATACTACAAAATTATAATGTTGATGGAATCGTTCTGGAACATGTCTTTTGGTATTTGGGTTCTGTTTCTCAAGCTTAGGATTCGTCGGATATGTCTGGCATATTCTTCATAAGTTTCTTAAGGGGAGATTTATCGAAAGCAATGTGAAGCTCTGCTTCAATTTCATCGTTTTTCTCCAGAGTCTTTTCGAATAGATTTTGTAAGTCCCTCAGTTGACTGTTCATGCTCGAACTGGGTAAATTGAGCCTTCCACTACTTGCGTCTATGGCCTCATTCAGTTTGATTGACCGCTCCCTGGAGCTCTTGATAGTTGCCAAAGCCTGGAATAGATTTTGATTTTTAGAAATGCTAAATAGGAAATTGATCAAATAATAACAGAGAGCTCAATTTTTCGTCCCTTTGTCAATTTTTTAACTGTAAATGTAGCCAGCGTTCGTTACATCTCAGAAAACTGAAAATCCCAATACATAGGGAAATAGATCATCCAAGCACAATTTTCTCCGCACCTTTCCTAGCTTGGTAGCAGAAAATTCAGGAAGCCGCACTGAATATGGGTCCAATTAGACCTGAAACGCTTCTGCAGTGCCTTCCTGAATGGTCGTAACTAGTGTTGCACCAAACAGCGTATCGCTTTAAGGAAAAATTTGCTTCGATAAGCTTTTTCCCTCTATATTGGGATTTCCAGTTTTCTGAAATGTAACGCGCCGCACGCTGGCTATATTTCCAACTTACTGACCATACGACTCGTCCGTCCATCGCAATCAGTTTGGGAGGATTTTAACACTTTGCTATGGTAAATGTACCGTTCGCTTAAACTGAATAGATTTGATGGGTGGCAACAGTGCCAGCAAAGTTTGCCCTAAGGTCCTCATTTTTCAACTTTAAACTTTAGACTGCTATCAATGGGTCAATTTTTTTTTGAATTTCTGGGTTTTCTTTGCAGCAACCAGGGTAATGCCCACATAATTTTAGTCCCTCCCCACCTTGCGGGACTATTTTACCTGATTCTATTACAATGGATCAGTTACGCTGGTCACAGAATCGTGTTATGATGTTTGATTCAAGTAAATAAAGTAAAAATAATAAGATCCATCCAAACGACACCTCTCTGCGTTTAATATCAACCGAGATATAGCGATTTGAAATATTCGGTTCATGACTTCATCCACTGCGGTAGTTACACCCTTGGTTTTTTCTACCTTGCTTTCATTAGTCAGTGAGACACATTTGCACAAATTACTAAACGTGAAACTCAGCAGATGAGGAAAGGTAGAAAAACCAAGGGTGTCACTACCTCGGTGAATGACATTGTAGACCGAATACTTATATTTCAAAACGCAACATCTCGATTAATTCAAATCGTTCAGAAACGATTAGGCCAAAGTAGCTTTACTACATTGTTGAGAAAAGAGAAGACTCCCTCCCTCTCCCTGTTTTCATGAGATCTGATTGATGCTCTGCAGCCTGTGACAAGATATAATATAATAAAACAAATTACACAGCGGATAACAAGGCTAATTTTCAAGTAAGTATCAAGGAAATGTTGTGCCACCGAATATGTAATATTACCCCTAACAAAATTGTTCTCGCTTTGAAAGGTACAGCCAAGTACTACGTTCTTAGATTTTTAATTTTTTTCCTGTTTTATCCAACTGAGAGGAGTTTTCAGTCGAAAGATTTTGATGATATTTACTTGAAAATTAACCTTATTACCCGCTGTGTACTTTGTTTTATTATTGTCCCCTGTTTTCTCTACAATTTTCTTATTTCTGCATTATACGGTCTCAAATTACACAGCGCCTCTTGAGAGGATTTTTTAAAAATCTTAGTTTTATGACGTTACTCCTCAAAAATCAAAATTTACCTCTTGAGCAGCCGTCGATTTTGCATCGGAGTGTATCAATTTGTTCATTGCATTGTAGTACTTGCGATGCTCCACGAAAAGGTAATCCATCATCGAAAGAACAGACAGAAATTCAATCATGTAATCCGCCTTGAATTTGGGATTTCCGAGGGCTTTTTTTAGTGCCTCTTGCCGACCCATCTCCAAGATTTTGAGTTCGTTCAACGATCGATCCACACTCTCCATTGAGGCTTTTGGACTGACTGCGGCTGGCACTACCTGTGAATTTTATGTTAGCATAATATAAATTGAGCTTTTGCTTTATATGAGTGGTGTTTTCTGCATATACGCCAGGAGAATCACTGTTTCTCCGCAGAAATTTGAAAGCGAATAATTAGTTTCATAGCATCATTTGGTTACGTTTAATCATAAAGGCTTGAATAAGAACATAGGGCCAGAATTTTAATCGTCGGGTTCGACATACTGGTGTGCGAGGCAACATGTGTAGACAGTATTCTCTATACTCAGTTAGAAAACTTTACCACTATTGTTCAACAATTTCCACATCATTCCTTTCATCTTTGAAATTGTAATTCGATCAATTTCTCGGCGAGAAAAGCCTCCATCAGCTCCTTTGACGATTCAATTTTTCAAAATTTTTCGAGGAGGCCCTCCACGCTCCTTTATGGCGCCTAAAAAATTATCTGACTTCCTATTTGGAACTGGAGTCCCACAGATCTCCCAGTCTGTTTTAATTGTTAGAGTTCTCCAAGATTTCAATTTAAAACCGATTTTATATTTATGTCAGCGGAAGATCGCAAGCGTTCCACAAGATTCATAATGAATAGACCTCTTCGGTCAATGATATTTCGTTTAAAACGTTGGATGATTGAAGCTTTGACGCAGCTAATATTGGCTTAATTTTTCCAAAACTAAATTTTTTAACTATGTCTTTGAAAATGACAATAATTTGACAAATAAGTGCCAAGACATGATTCCTTGTATTAAAAAGTCTAATGTGAAATAAGTCATGTAGCTCCGTAGAGTAATAAACTCACCCTTGCATCGACAAAGGCGAGAATAGATGCAACACTAAGTATCACTCCTATAATCATCTTGGTTCCATTCAAATATTAACTGAAATAGTTCTATGAGGTTCCGACCACTCTTAAAGGAATTTAAAACACTGAACTAAAATTATGTTTCTGAATGCCTGGACGCGGGCTCCTTTCTTATCGGGTCTTTTCAATTTTTATAGAGAAATGACCTCATATCACCAAGTGTGATAGGAGCAGAAATATTGAGGAATTCTACCGTGACGCCGTGACGTATCAGACGTGAAGGAAGACATGGCAACGCAAAGTGAGAGAAGGCCAAACGTCATCAACTATTTTATGTTATTGTAAAGAAATATTTTTTTAACTTTCTTTGTATTTTGATGGAAATTTTTGGCGCGTATACGTAGTATACCGCCTTTGCGATCGTTTCGACCCCCCCCCTCGATACAATAACCGAGTCCCCTAGTTCCTTACCGAAAAGTGACTACCGCGAACTTCTGAGATTTTCCAAAGCGTGTAAAAAGTTTACTAATCCGTCAATAATAATGATTAAAATTTGTTTCTCATTCTGGGGCTCGCTAGTTTATGTGTAATGAATACCAAGA